TTTTTTTGGGTCGTCTCGCATCATGTTTCCCAGGAGTTTACGAATAATGTCTATTGACTTGGGTCGCGAAGGTTTGAGACTTTTAAAATGTGGTTCCCCAGAAAAAAAAGTTTGGCAAACACTGATCTATCTAACACCTGTCAAACTCCGGCCAAATCAGACACGCAGTGTAATTGTATTTGGCCCGTGAGATCATATCAAATGTGAACTAAAGTTGACCCATCAGTGTATAGCACATATATACTGGCAGGATTTGTAGTATTAGCGATGTATGTCAGAGTTTCAATGTTTACGCAAAACAAAAAATTTGTTTCCATATGAATAAATTCTTCATCACATCTGGAGAGAAGGGAAAACATGCACGACTGACATCATTTTTTCAATAAATATTACGCCTGGCTCGATACATCGTCCCGATTTTAACATTTTGGCCAACTGTGAATTTGAGTTTGACAACACGGGGTCTGTCCTTCTGTCCCTCTTTCCAGGTTATCACTTCTCTCTCTCTCTCTCTCTCTCTCTCTCTGTCAGACGGAGTTGTTTTGATTTGAGCTCAGTTTCCAGCTCCGTTTCCTCTTCACGAGTCTCTCTCTGTAGAGCGGAGCTGTGATTGGCTGAGGAGAACACCAGCTCCGAGTGAAGCAAAGGATGCACACGGAGCCAGTGCATGGACGGATGCAAACAGGAAACGTCGGTCGTGCATCCTTCTCCCCCCCAGTCCGGACGGGGAAACTCTGAGGACCGATGTCTGTGTGCGCATCCTCCCGCAAGTTTGCGCTGTGGGGTTTCGGTCGCGTGCAGGATGTTGTGAATCCGGCTGTCATCAGCAGCGCTACTCGCAGCAGCAGCAGCAGAAGCAGCAGCACATCCTGTCAGCAGTGATGGGCTCCAAGTTGACCAGGCAGAGAAGTCTCGATCTGGAGAGCAAACTGTCCAAAAGGAGACGCCAGAGACATGAGGTGCAGGCGGAGGGCGAGAAGAGGAGCGGCGGCGGCGGAGACTTGTTGTTCGCCTCCCTGATGCTCAAGTCCGACAAGCTCCCAGGGATGCTGCGTAGAAGCCACCACAGCCCCTATGTCAGGAGAGTGGCGTGGATCCGTGACATCCAGAAGCTGCTCCGGGAGCAGAAGAGAGAGCAGGCGGCCGAAGTTCTCCGGCTGCTCCGAAAGGTCAGAGATCCACTTTATTTAACCTCGAACGAGGGTTGGGCTGGAGAAGGCGGGTAATTGTTGACTCCAATTTTACTAAAAAAAAAACAAACAAAACAATAAATACGTAAATGTCCGTTCTCAATTGTAGAGTCACATTACACTTTAGAAACCACAGGAAGTCTTTCGAATGAATCTTTATCTGACTCCGTAATTTCTAAAATAACAGTCGACTAGTCGAACGTCTCGGTTTTCCGCGAACCGAAATCTATCTCACTGTCTCACCAGTTGACTTTCAAAGTTAATTAATGAGATTCTACCACATGGATGGTTCTGGAATGTTCTACTAATCGTTTACATCAGGTTAAACTTAGTGATTGCAAATAAAGTGAATAACGGTCATTTTTACGATGGATTATTGTTTGGTTAGCGTTGGTTTTACACTCTACTTTTCACGTTACATTTCGCTAAAACTACTTTTTTTTTACCATTTGTTGACAGTGGTTTTTAGCAGTCTTTGGGGAAATTCACTGGCATTCATCAAATAATTTAATTGACGTCATCTCCCTCTGGAGTCCATACTACAGACGTCCAGTCTGTTAAAGTGACAGACTGAACCTACAGACACCTACAGGTACCGCTGGGCAATGACTAGTAAAAAAGTTGACAGATGTTAAATCATAAACTTTTACTTGACAAACGTCTCATAAATGAGATTTTCCGTCGAACCTCGCTGTTTGGTCGGACGAACCCAAGCCGCTGGAGGAACAAGCTAACCCTCCGAGTGCCTCTCAACGGTCGGACCGACACGGTAGTCGTTAGCCTCTTCTTCATTAGGTCACAGTTGAAAAAAAACTCTCAACGGTCGGACCGACACGGTAGTCGTCAGCCTCTTCTTCATTAGGTCACAGTTGGGGAAAAAAAAGCCTCAGGCAGTGAAACATCCGTTTTTTAACATGGATTTAACAACAGTGTTTGAATATGACGGGGAAAACAAACACACGTATGTAAATAAGCAATTTCTTTTTACTTAGCATTGTGTTGGTTTGTTCGGTTCTCCACGATGCACAGCAGTGGACCATTTATAAAAATTAAAATGAAAAGAAAACGCTTCCTAACGGTCAGTTTTACCAAAGTAATGTTTATTTGTGTGTGTGTGTGTGTGTGTGTGTCACACCTTCTGTTTATTCTTCACCCAAACGAAGAAAGCATCGATCGCGGATTTATATTGAATTTGTTAGCATAGCTGTTAGGATCCGGGCGCTTCCGGCACTTCCGGTAGGTCTACCTTGTGACGGAGAATAAATTACACCGATTTCTGTAGATTGAAACAGGAAATATACCGAGGAGAATAGTCACTGTGTGGTCCTCGGCCGCAGGTTTACTATCGGACAGTAGGTGTCGCCACATTTGCGGATCAAACTTCAGATTCGTTGTTCGTGATTAGGGACGAAGTTCTCCTTAGCTCGGCAGTTTAATTTTGCTCGCCAAGCACGAAGGCCCTCTGTGGTTTGTTGTTAGCAGCGCATGTCAGTGGATGAGGTTCACAGACTATGTCAGTTGATGAGGTTCACAGACCACGTCAGTGGATGAGGTTCACAGACCATGTCAGTTGGTGATGGGATTTTACAGAGTGGATTTGGTCACAATTTGACTGGAGCTCATTTTGTTTAAAGGAACCGTGATAAAATCGTTTCATGGACAAAAGAAAATTGTGAATCATATCGTACGATGAGCTGCGTTTATTGTTATTTCCCTGCAAAAAAAAAAAAAAACCTAACTGAAAACCTGGTCTGTGACTCTGCTTTACTGGACCTGACGTCCAATGAAAATATAGAGCAGAGAAAAATATTGTCAAATGTATTTTCCTTGGATCAGTGACAGACCTGGATTTTCTAAACCCCGTTAGCGATTCAAGCACATTAGAAGAGGAATTCCTTAATTCGTGACTGGAGCTATAAATATCAGTGTGTCTCTGTGTGTGTGCGTTAGCGCTGCTGCCTCTTGGCTGTGTATTTTCTGTCATGTCAGCATGGGTTCGGAGGGTTTGCTCATGACGAGTTAAAGGGGCCACACACTTTAATCAGTTGAAGGAGACTTAATTCGTCCAGAAAATAAATCATATGTAAACTAGGGATGTCCGATAATATCGGCCGACCAATATTATGGGCCCAATATTAGCAAAATTATGTAATATCTATAAGAATCGTTATTGGTTTTTACTCTGATAATAAAAACCCGATAACGCAATTTTGCCAAATGATGTGTGCTCTAAAAATAGTTTTGGGGAAAAATGGCTGTATATGAAAGTGAAAGTCACTAGATGGCAGCATTGCAGCTCATTTTAGTCATCTATTTTGATAATCCGGGGATTTTTATGCAGAATGCTGGAGCCAACAACAACTCATACAGTGGTTTGTACAGTTCTTGCGTGGAGTGGAAAATACTTCTGTCCCCTAGGGGGAGCATGGAAGAAAATAATTGAGAAACACTGCTTTATCCCAGCACCTTAGTGAGCAGGCTGCACTTAACTTCCTTAACCACTAGGCCACCACTTTCCCGCAATATCTTTATTGGTTGATATCGAAATTGGAAAGTAAGTGTTTGGACAATATCGGCATATCGGATATCGGAGTTAGTATCGGACATCCCTGCAGTTTACCTGTCAGTTTGTGGCGTCCACCGATGCAGAAACCGCTGCAAACGTGTCGCACTGTGCCACAGATTTAATTGGATTATGATGAACCGCCTGTGTGGGGCGATGTTTGGCTACTAGAGGCATGGCACTTTTTTTCAGTCATGTTTTTGTAACAAGGCCAGACGTCAGATCAGATTAGTTGCCTTTACTAGGACGGCGCCAGGAGATACAGAGTCAGGCTCAGTGTCTCAGATGAATGTGGGCTGAAAAAGGAAAAAGAATCCACGACCTCACGATTGGAAATCAACAAAATCAATCTACCGAGTCAGATTTCCTGTTGAGTGTGAGCGTCTACAGCAGCGGCCGCAGCTGTGCTCCATTCATCTTCAAAAAAAAAAAAAAAAGGCCTTCAATTTCCTCCATTCTCCCATTTTGAACACGTTCGGCGTCCATCGTCCATCTGCAGTAAACAAGCTTCTGTTGAAGGGCGGGAGGATCTGGTCTGAGGACAGCCCTGCGTCAGGGAATCCCAGAGAGCTCCACTGTGATAAATCAACTCAAAAGTCGGAGGAGGAGGAGGAGGAGGAAGTGCTGATGGGAGTTTTCCTCCCTGCCTCCTCTGTGCTGTGGAGTGAGAGGGCAGTCTGTCGGGGCTCGGCGGCCATGTTTTACACAGTCGCAGCCTGTGGCGTGTTATTTCCTACAGAGGTGGCAGTATTAACTTCACATCTTATACCGGTCAACAAGTAGGAAAACACACAACAAACAATGGTTCACACGTAGATCGTAGTAGATCAAGTGTTTCTTTTGTTCATCGTTGATTCTCATTATGTTTGTTTTTAGTTTTTTTGCTGCAAAGTTTGGTTTTGTTGTCTATTAGTTTTATGTCAACGCATTAGTTCAAAAATTTCATAACAACGATATACGGTATATTGCGATACTACAGGCACGTGATATATTGAGTTTTTTTAGCAAATTAATTGTATTTAATTGTATCTTTATATATAACCGCTCCATCGTTTAAGGATCATTACATTTTCCAAATCAAACCTCTTTCAGATTTTCTTCTGTTGTTCTGTATCAGAGTCTGAATGACCTTTGACCTGTTGTTTTGAAACATTGACAGATTATCTTTGAATGAAAACAGTAAAGGGACATGACGGGATTATTCTGGAATGAAGTACATCAGTAAAACTGAAGTACATTTTTTTCATTGTGTCCCACTGTGGACCGGTATAAAATGACCTACGGACCAGCACCGGTCCCTGAACCGGGAGTTGTGGACCCCTACTGTAGAATATTGATATGGTATTGTGAAAATATTGCAATATTTCAGTGTATGGATATTTCCTTAAACCCCTAGTATTTACATCTGTAAATATTAATATTACGCCAGAGTTCAATTTATGGGGTTTCGACAAAAATAGTCAAATGTTTGTTTTTTTTTCTAGTAAATAGAAAATCGTGACACGAGATGATGACTGTGGGGGTGGCTGCCGCGTTCTGGGGAGGCTGTGTGACATGTAGGAAGGAACATTACATCAGGCTGATGAAGCCGGTACTTCAACCAGGGAGCTTAAATATATATGTTCCCTGATATGCAAATACCCTCAAGGTGAAAAAGAGTATCAAATCCTGGGGGTTTTTGTTTCTTCAAACACTTCACGCCATCTTTTGTGAGAAGTGTAAAACAGTGGGAAGGTGAAATTAAACGCATTTCATCAAAATGTATTATTCTCCTCTTGTTTATGGCTGCGTTTATGGAAATTGTTAAGCGTCCCGTGGGCAACGGTGGTAATTAATTTCACTGAAGTACACCTTGGAAATGGTCGTTGAGAAGCACCAAGAAAGAACACACAGATACACCTGTAGGGGGAGCGTTATGTGGTAGTACCTCGTGACTGAACCAGTCTTTTCACTGGGTTCTCTGCAGGACCTCGGCATCCAGGGGACCTCACTTAACGACATCTTGTACAAGAACGCCGCCTTCCTCAATCTGGTGGATCCCATTTCCCATGAGCTGCTGCTCAGTCTGGCCCGAGACCTGCAGTGTCCGAAAAAGGTAAGAATATCCCGCCTACCCTGGATCTTGTTTACATATATATATTTGTATTTATACTGTATGTGTAAATATATACTAAAAGTATATATTTGTAAAAATAAAATAATTTATTTAACTTATCGTATAAATTAAATATTTTGACTAAAAATATATAAATACATATATACATATATTTTTGCATATATAAATATATATACTGAATGTATATATTTGTTAAAATAAATTAATTTATTTAATTCTCTAAACCTATCATATGTATTCAATATATATTTTTACTAAAAATATATAAATACATATATACATATATTTTTGCATATATAAATATATATAATGAATGTATATATTTGTAAAAAAATTAATTAATTTAACTCTAAACGTATCATATGAATTAAATATATATTTTGATAAAAAATATATAAATACATATATACATATATTTTTGCATAAATAAATATATACTTGTTTCTATACATATACGTATGTACACACACATACAGTATATGTATACATATATCTGTATATGTATATTTGTATACATTTATATTTAAATATATGTATATATGTACACATTGTCTTTGTTTTCAGCCTAGCTATTTGGAGTTGCACTACTGTTGTTTCTACGATGTATTTCACCCTTCACAAATATCAGGACCGTTTGCGAAAGTATTAAATGAGAGGAAAATCGAACAAATATATATATTTTTGAACACAATTATAAATATCGCGCACGTACACATGACAGACACCGTTCGAGCGCTAATTAGAACAGACATGACACCTGTTTTCACATCAGTGTGAACATCAACAGTATTAATTAACAGTGTTACAACTGTAAAGAGCGAACACCGGGAACCTGCGCAGGATATTTGATCAAACATCTGCGATGTTCAACCGTCCAAATGTCAGTGTTAAAAACAACAACCAGTTCATGTCGCACTGAGTCGCCGACGGTCTGTCCTTCCTGCTCCTCCTCAGCTCCGCCGTCCAAACGAGCCACAGCTGCGGTCCAGAACCTGCAGCTGCAACAAGGCTCTAATTGATTCCTCTGCCAGTAGGTGTGGGCAGGTGACCAGTGGTCATCCAGCAGGAGGAGACAAAGGTGGAGGTCAGAGTCAGTACCTGTGACTGGTCGTCGTTGGAACCAAACTTTACTTTAGTGAAGAACGATTTAATAAAATCTTAGACCATAGAAAACACAGGAGGTTAAATGATAAAAAAAAAAAAGTCGGTTACATCTTTAAATTTGAAAAAAAACAACCTTTCGAGCCCTGAAAATTTTTTTTTTTTTTTACAAATGACGTCAGTTAAGAACGGAGTTTGCCTTTTTTAGCGTTCATGTTAAAAACGGAGTTTGCCTTTTTTAGCGTTCATGTTTTTTAATGTTTGTTGGCTACGTCCAAACTTATCACGACTGGCGGCACGAAGAGGTAATTGTCGGTCATTCAGCCAAATTCCTCCATTATGCAGATGACTGTCAGATTTCTCTGCTTGATTAAGATTAAGGAACGGTCCGTGGGAAATAAACTGCGATTTATCCAGAGTGAGAGTCGGCTCATCTGCTTCTGTAAATTGGCATACAAACCAATCGCATTAAAATTCAAATTACATTTCAAACTGGGGTATCGGAGTGAAGAGTGAAGAGGAAGCTCGAAGAACAGCCGTCAAACTCCCAGACGCTACAGTACGACCGCTGTTATCTCCAGTAACGTCTGGACGGAGGTTCCCTGAGATGAAGCCACTGCAGTCTAGGATTGTTTTTTTTTTTTTTTACTCTCAGACTCCTGATAACAATCACCTGTAAGTGAGTGATCTCATCTCTGTTTACTTTGGCGAGGCGGGTCCAGCAGTGGGGGAGGGAGGTAGGGGGGCAGAGAGGGAGAGAAAGTGAGGAGCTGGCAGCAGTCTCCTCCTGACTGGCTGGCGACCCGTGGCAGGATACTGTGTCAGACGTGACGAGGATGTAGAGAGGCAGAGTGTAGGATGTAAGAGTAAGAACTGCCTGGAAGCTTCTTTCTTTCTT